GCCTCCTTGACCTGTCCATCTTCTCTCCCACCTATCTGCTCCACTATACACCTTCTATCACCGCTCCCCCATCTCTATTTATTTCAGAGCCCCCTTCCTCTCCCCCATTTCTGAAGAAGGGTCCAGACCCGAAACGTCAGCTTTCCTGCTCCTCTGATGCTGCCTGGCCTGCTGTGTTCATCCAGCTCCACACCTTGTTATCTCAGACTCCAGCGTCGGCAGTTCCTACTATCTCTTAGAGTTAATAGTAGTTGTCTTTTCCCTGGGAAGAGGGATTTCAAGACTGGGGGCACATTTTTAAGGTGAGAGGAGAGAGATTTAAAAAAGACATGAGGGTCAAATTTTTACACAGTGGGTGGCTCACATGGAGAATGAACTTCCCAAGAAAGTGGTGGAGGTGGGCACAGTTACAATGTTTAAAAGACATTTGGATATGTACATCAATAGGAAAAGTTTTGAGGGATATGGGCCAGGAGCAAGCAGGTGGGACTAGTTTAGTTTGGGATGTCTGTTGGGCATGGACTGGTTGGACGAAGTGTTTGTTTCCATGCTGTTTGACTCTATGACACTCTGTTTTAAACTTGGTATCATCCAGAACAAAGCAGCCCACCTGGTAGGCATCCGCCACATTTACTCCTTCCAACACCAACGCTCAGTAGCAGCAGTATGTCCCACCTACAAGGTGCACTGTATCAATTCACCAAAGTCCCCTCCAAAGCACTTTCCAAACCTGTGAATGCTACCAATAAGAAGGACAAGTGAAGCAGTGATGGGTACAATACCGACCTGCAATGCCCCCTGTCAAACTACACACTTCTAGTCCTGGAACTGGATCAAATTGCTGGAACTCACTTCCAAAAACTGCGGCAGCTCAGGAAGGTTAATCATTAATTTCTTATCTAGACAGCGTCAAGAATTGGGCAATAAATGCTGGCCTGGTCATAATCCACACAAGAGCCTCTTTGAAAAGAGAAGCCCAGTGACTTCCAATCAATTTCAATATAACAAAAACTAAAACACAACCCAGTATTAGTTCAATGTTTAACCAATGTGCAGAGGCCTGAGCAAAGTACCACTGAGCAGTAAAATCTGAAATATTCCAAGACAGTGGAGATCCTTTGGTAATTTTTAGGTGGAAAGAAAAGCTAGAGCACAATAAGTAGTGAATCAAAGTCTTGTAAAACACACACAAATTCCAAAAAAACCCATTGAAATAGCACTGACACATTAAATATGACCATCTTCACTGCCCCTTCGTGTAAAGGTTTCCCTTCACCCACACCAGCATTACAGAGTCATACAGCATGAAAGCAGACCCTTTAGTTTAACTTGTCCATGCCGACCAGATACCCTAAACTTATCTAGTCCTATTTGCCTATATCCCTCTAAACTCTTTCTATTCATGTATCCATCCAGATGCCTTTTAAATGTATACCAGCCTCCACCACTTCCTCTGGCAGCTCATTCCATACACACACCGTCCGGTGTGTGAAAAAGTTGCTCTCTCAGGCCCCTTATAAATCTTTCCTGTCTCACTTTAAAACTGTGCCCTCAATTAATGAACCAAGTAAGTTTCATGACAAGCCGACATTTTCATAGCTACCATTGCTTATGCAAGATTCCAGATTTATTTAATTCATTCAATTTAAATTCACCAGCTGCCAGAATAAAAGTTGAACCCATATTTCCAGGTTATCAGTTCTATAGCATAACCACAATGCCACTGTCCTCTTAATCACTGCAAAAGGCACATTGTGGTCAGCTACAGAGTAATTGTATCCTCAATTCCAAGTCAATTGCACATTTGTAAGCCTTTGCTTCGAATGATGTTCACTGCAATGGGTAAATTGATTGAATAATGTTATTGTACAAGTTATTTTTCTGAACTGCCCCTCCCTGTGGTAAACGTTGCCCCTCACCCACACCAATAGTGCCCTTACCTGTGATAAAGGTTTCCTCTCCTGGCAGTTGATGCCACCCACTAGCACCATATTTGGCATGAGGGGCTTTGGGTACTCAATGGTGAAGTCGTAACGCATCAGCCAGATGGAGGCCTTACTCAGCAGTTGGACCAGGGTCACATCTCTCTGCAGGAACCTCTGGGCCAGCTCCTCGAAAGGGGAGTAGATGAAGTGGCACAATAGCGACTCGGCAAAATTGGCCAGCACGTTCAGAGTCCTTTGGAGGAAAGTCATTCGGTCGGTGTTCCCGGTGAAAATTCTCGGCACGTAGGAGAGCGGCCTGGGGCATTGTGTGGCTGAATTGTCCAAACCACAAGGGAGTCCTCGCAGCAGGTTGACCGTGGGCAGGGAGAGATACTCCGCAACAATGGCACCACACGGGCTGAAAGGATCAGTCAGCAAAGCGTCAAAATGCTCTTTGGCCAGCTCCTCTAGAAGCCTGGTGTTAAACAAGAGATCTTCACAGATGCGAAGGAAGTACTGCCTGATTTTATCCACATGTTGCAGGGTTTGGCTAAGCTTTTGGTAAAATGTCCCATCATAAAAAGCCATCTGTATGAGGCTTACATATAGCTCGTCCACCTCAGCTTTGCTGTAGGAAACGGGAAAGGATATGGTGGTGTAGTGAAGCGGAGTCTTGATCAGCAAGCTATTTTCAGGTTTCACGATAACTACCTGATGTCCTCTGCCATGGATCTCCTCCACTATGAGTTTTATACTTAGCCAGTGGCTCCCATCAACAGGAATAACCAACAGCTTCCCACCATCAGCTGGGCTCCACAGACACTGCAAACAAGCCAAGAGACAAGCCAGCCGAGAGGTCACAGCCATCCTGTGCAGAGCCACTTGGAACCACCGCAGACAATTCAGCACCAGCCTCAAGCTATGGTCTCCCCTTCAGCAATTAAACACTGTCTACGGAAAATCCCATAAAACACGATTATTTACAGAATTTGTGACCAATGGATGATTAATGTTTAGCACAACAAACAAAACCGCTTACCCCATCTCATGTTATCTCAATTAATAGATTTCTTAACCCTTAGTCCATGGCTGGACTTGTTAGTTCAGTGAAATAGAGTTCAGGTCACAGGTTGAGCACATTATGGGCAAGTTCGATTCAGATTCCAGAACGAAGGAGGCAGATAGAGATTGTTGGGATCCTGTCAGCAATGCCAACATTTCATGTAGAATAAGTATGTAATCTCTATATCTGGTCTATTAAAGCATTCTAATAATTTTAAAGAACCTCGACTAGGTCAGCCTTCAGGGTGTCTCTATCCTTATAACATAGTTACCAGAACTGCTCAAGCCTGGTCTAAATCAAAGTTCAGGATAAGTTGAGCATGACCTAACCACTTTTCAATTCTATCCCCTTGACATAAACCTTAGTGCATGGCTTGCTTTTGGTTTGTTTGGGGCAGCACAGTGGTTGGCACTGCTGCCTCACAGCGCCAGGGACCCGGGTTCAATCCCGCCCTCAGGCAACTGCCTGTGTGGAGTTTGCACGTTCTCCCCATGTCTGCATGGGTTTCCTCTGGGTGCTCCGGTTTCCTCCCACAGTCCAACATTAGGTGGATTGGCCATGGTAAATTGCCCACGGTTTCCAGAGATGTGCAGGCTAGTGGATTAGCCATGGGAAGTGCAGAGTTACAGGGATGGGGTCTGCGTGAGATGCTCTTTGGACGGTTGGTGTGGACCTAATGGGCCAAATGGCCTGCTTCCACACTGTAGAGATTCTAAATGACCTTGCCACCTCTGGTGAAACTTCTCTTGATGGGTGTACTTGTACTCAGCAATCCCTTTGTTTGTCTACCACCACCACCACCCCCACCCCCACTGAGAGGTCTACAATCTTCATATTCTTCCTGTCAAAATGTACTCTCATATATCAATGTTGAACTAGATTTGCCAATTACTTGACCATTCTGCAGTCCTTTAGTTATTTGTTCGCAGTCTTCTCTATGACTACATTTCCAATTTGTGGCATCTACAAATTCAGAAGTTGTGTTGTTGATTCTGAAGTGTAATAATGAACGTTAATTGTGAACGGTGCTAGTCACAGTTAAGTCACAGCTCAGCTATGATCTTATTGAATGGCAGAACAAGCTCGAGGGGCTGAATGTCCTGATCCTGTGTCCCATTTCTCAGAGGAATAAAGTGGCAGACAGAACATGGTACTTTGACAAAGAGTGATTGAGGACATCACTAATCACTCCATACCAAAGCAGTACTTTGGAAGTGTCATCCTGATTACAACTTAGCAATTTCTAACTTTAGATTTATTGCCAGAGTACAGTAGTATAGCAATTACATTACTTTTCTTATTCTTTCTTTGGAAAGCGACATCACTAGTAATACCAGAGTGAGAATTTGTTGTCCGTCTCCAATGCTTTTGGAATAGAGTGACTGTTAAGCCATTTCAGAGGGAGGTGAAGAGTTAATCACATGATAATGGATCTGGAATCACATGTAGTCCACACTGGCTAAGGATGGATAATTTCCTTCTCTAAAGTGAACTGGATGGGATTTTATGACAATCGATAACAGTTGTTAACATCACCGTGACAATCTTACAATTTTACAGATCTTCCTTATTTATTAACTGAGTTGGGTCAAGGAGAAGCAGATGGAGTTTAATTTAGATCAACTTGAAGTGTTGCACTTTGCTAAAGCAAACTGGGCAGGACTCACACGGTTGATGACAGGGCTCGGGGAAGCGTTGCTGAACAAAGAAACTTGAGGGTGCAGGTGCATAGTTCCTTGAAAGTGGAGTCACAGGTAGACAGGGTGATGAAGGCAGCATTTGGCACACTTGCCTTCATTGCTCAGAACAATGAGTATAGGAGTTGGGATGTCATGTTGCAGCTGTACAGGGCTTTGGTGAGGCCACTTTTAGAATCCTGCATGCTATTCTGGTCATCCTCCTGTAAGAAGGATGTTGTTAAATCTGAGAGGGTGCAGAAAAGATTTACAAGGATGTTGCCAGGACTCGAGGGTTTGAGTTATAGGGAGGGGTTGAATAGGCTGGGGATTTTTACCCTGGAGCATCAGAGGCTGAGAGGTGACTTTATAGTGGTCAATGAAATCATTAGGAGTATAGATAAGGTGAGTAGCCAAGGTCTTTTTTCCCCCAAGTTGGGGAGTCCAAACTAGAGGGCATAGGTTTAAGGTGAGAGGGGAAAGATTTAAAGGGACCTGAGAGGCAACTTTTCACAGAGATGGTGGTGCATGTATGGAATGAGCTGCCAAAGGAAGTGGTGGAGGCTGGTACAATTACAACATTTAAGAGGCATCTCGATGGGTTTATGAATAGGAAGGGTTTACAGGGATATGGGCCAAATGCTGGCAAATGGGATTAGGTCAGAGTGAAAAGTCTGGTCGACATGGACCCTTTGGACCAAAGGGCTTGTTTCTGTGCTGTATGAATCTATGACTCTATGGGTTAATTGAAAATCAAATTTAAACACAAACAGCTGCAACAGTCAGATTTGAACCTTTACCCTGGACGAGCAGAATAGTGAAATTATTGCTACGCCACCATGTCTCAAGACTGGCCTAGTAATTGAGTGGGGCTATACGAATAATCTAGTATCGAGTTATGATTGTCAAGTAGTTAATTCTGTTACTGTCTTGATATTCCTGTTTCCGTTCTGTGCAACAGGAAAATTGAAATTAAATTACCAGGGGATTTTAAATCACAGAGTAGTTCCTGAAAACACATGGCTATGTTTGACTTTAACCCTACGATGACAAGATTTCATTTTTAACGCAACGTGTTTTGTTCTTTATCTACTTAGATAGTCAATAGAAGTTATGGTGTTGCACATTGGTTCCCACAATCTTACACACACACACACACACACACACACACACACACAC